GACAGCAACAACAACAACAACAACAACAACAATACAACAGCAAATATCAAACAATAAATATCAATGACATCCCTGGCGACGACAACAACGCACAAACGACATGACCCTTCCATTCCCAAAGTTTTCTCGCTGATCAAAATATTATTATCCAAAACCCAACTCAGATCTCAAATCTAAAATCAGGGGGCTCTCATGGCCTAGAGGTTAAGATGTTGGCCTCTCATTCAAAGGTCCCGGGTTCGAATCCGGGTAGCGACCGAAAAATTTTCTTCTCTAAAATTGTCTCCTTTCACCTCCTTTCCTGCTCTCTAGCGATATTCTGTCGTCTGCTTTCGTCTCCTCTTTTTGCCCCCACCCCTCACCTCATTTGCTCCCTCCTCTGGGCTCCTGACTCTTTCTGCAACCTTTCTACTACTACTCCTTGACTCCTTCTTACAGCTGTCTTTCTGCCACACCCCTAATCTACTGGTAGGAAAGATCTACACCTAGCCTTCTCGGACAAGGGCGAAAAATCTCGGAGGGCCGTGTGTAAGTTGCGCACGTTAAAGATCCCTTTGTGGTCTAAAATTGATAAGAGTAAGCTTCGGCCGCCACCCGGGCAAAATTCAAAATTCCCTTCCAACTAAAAGTATTAGGTGTGTCCCGCGCGCTCATATGACCGTATGCAGTTGCGAGCGCCGTAAAACACTTATCAAAAAAATAATTTTTTAAAGTCTAAAATCTGTGTGAAAAAACAAAAAGGTCTGATAGAATGTCCAATACAATTACTCACAAACTCTTCCTCCGCTGTCTTCCCATGCGAGCCGTGCTCATCGTAGAAGCCGTGGTCCTCCAAGGCCTGTTTCGTGTCTTTGTATTTGCGGTATTGCATAAGGAAAGGAAGCTCTTTCTCCTGACCTGGTTTTACTTTAAGCAGATTCCACGACTGCCGTCTTTTCATCATATTATGGGAAATACTTTCTCGTCTGTTACTGCCTCTGCGTCTGTGAAAGAAAAGCAAAAGTAATTTTTTAAAATAAGTTTCTATTAATGTAGTTTAGTATTGCTTTTTACGGCCCCGACCCATTTCATATTCACAATGTAGATAGTGTAGGATGTATACTTTCATCCTGTCTGCTCGGGCTAACCCGGGTGCGAGGGACACAACGTCCCAGTAAAAAGACCGAGAAACTCGATAAAACGTCTCCCCAAGTGTGAGTCGAAATCGGGTCTTCTGCGTGCGACAGCTAAGCGCCTAACCTCTACACCACAGACGCTGGTGGCAAATATTATTATAAGAAAGGACCAGCATGACAATTGTATGAGTACACATTTCAAAACAAGTATGCACTGTAATGTAGTTGTGGTACACACAGTACATATTATTATGTAGTTCAAACTTTGAAAATGAGTTTGTTTCAATAAATACGTGGGGATTTTTTCCTCTCTTAAAATATTCTCTCTCTCCCCCCCCTCTCTCTCTCTCTCTCTCTCTCTCTATCTCTATCTCTCTCTCTGTGTGTCTGTCTGTCTGTCTGTCTGTCTGTCTGTCTGTCTGTCTGTCTGTCTGTCTGTCTGTCTGTCTGTCTGTCTGTCTGTCTCTCTCTCT